ATGCATCACACACACGCACACTTATTACAACAATTAGCCCTCTCTCGGAGGGTCCAAATAAATAATACAACACCAACTAGCTAATCTAAGCTAATCTAATTAAGCTAGTTATTACATAACCAAAATGAATAATAAATTACAGCTAATTATTACACAACTCTAATTAATTAACAAACTAGCTAAGTAAGCAAATAAACTAGCACGCAAACTACATAAATGTGGACTGCCTCAGCTCTGCCTTGAATGATAAAGGGTGCATGCATGCTCGAGTCGCCTCGTCGGGAAATCCATCGCGATGCCCCGGCTTTCCTTTGTTTGCAATTGATTTCAGAACACTGCACGAAGCTCCAGAAGGCTGAAACTCCACCCTGGGAATCCGTGGGAGGGCTACCGACCAGCCATGGACCTTGGAGACCACCCACCGACCAGTTTTTGTGAGAAAAACCAACAGGGGTGGTCGGCCTGCCAGAAAAGCTGGTCAGCCGACCAGTTTCTGCCTCTGGTTCTGGTTCTCTGCAACAAGGAACAAGAGAGGAGCATGGCAAGGTATTTTCAACATATGTGTGCTCGACCACTCTCCCCATCATTGTACAAGCTCAAGGGAGTGTAGGTCTCGATCCTCGAGCCATCAATCACGCATCTCGATGCATGATGGCTGAGGAGTCGAATTGCACGACTCAATGTGAAATGAATGCACATATAAACACATAAATGCCTAAACTCCATCATGTGTTAGTCAAGAGTTTCGAGGACCGAGAATCGAGGCACGTTTCGTCACTTTGAGTACGAAACGTCCCTTGTTTCCTGTGTTTGGACTAAACCCTACTCCAAACACAATGCAACAAACAATGTATGGACATATGCAACTCTAGCATGCGATTTAAATGCAATGCAACTAGGTGATGCAAAGATGCACAGAATGACATGCAAGCATGAAAATGGCATACACAATGCTATGAACTAGTCAATGGCATACTCATTGCACATGGATTATGTGGCATGCATGCACAATGCACTAACATACACAATGTTATGAACGAGGAATACGCAATGCAATGATCGAGCATGCGACAACATGGATATGGCATACATAATTCAAGATAGACTTAAACTAAAATGAATGGGCCTCAGCCACACTCAAATCAGTGGCCATACATGATGAAAATGAAGCGACAACACACATGCAAACATGCACAAATGCAGGGGACCAAACCTAAGGCACAAAGTGCAACTCCACCAAAGCAGGGTAAGCATGAAATATGGCATACAATCACATATTTTTCAGCTCTGAAATGACATGCAAGATGGTCCCGAATCATGCAAACACCTAACACAATGCATGCTAGATGGCCCAAATACCGAAACTAGTAAAGTGGAGTACACTATAGGCATGCAAAGCAATACTCAAATGGCTAAACCAGCTCCAAACAGTCCTTGTGCAGGCCAAAACAGTAGCAAATATGGACTAAAATGATGGCTCGCAAAGCATGGAAATGAAGCTCATGCAATGGTCCAAAAATGAGGTATTCATGCACAACGCTCAAACACACTTAAAGAGTGGAAAACATGGGAATATGGCATACCTATAAGCTCTGAAATATGATTCACAATGATGCCAAAACATGGAAACACCTCAAAATACGCATGCAATACGCTTCACAACTCAAAGCTAGGCAAGGGTATTGAACTACAACCATGCATAGCAAACATCATTTGACCATGAGACCAAAAAATAGAGCTAAGGAAGTCCAAAACATACACAAAATCAGTTTAAGGCATGGCCAAAAAGTGCTAGAATCAAAGACCAAAATAGCATGCAATGTAAGCTAGTAAAGAGGGTTTGCACTACAAGCATGTGAGGAAATCAAGAGGCCACTAAACCAGCAAAACTCAGAGGTATGACATGCCAAATAAAGCCCAAAAACCCACTGAAATACCGTTAATGCATGCAACAATGAGATGCTCCTTTGATATGCTATGAAGAGGGTTATTCTACACATACAAGATGGACATCCAATATGGAAAAACAAGCTCTGGAAAGAGCCTATACAGGTCCTAAAACTCATCAAAAATGACCTGAAACATGGCTTGGAAGCATGCAAATAAGGGCTCCTTTGTAAGGCCTAAAATGCTAGAAAACAAAACACGGAGAGAGATGGTCACCCCTCTCTGATTTTGGGGATCAAAATAGCATGGTAGCCACTAAAAATCCGCTGGATTTCAGTGGCTAAAAGGCCAAGCAAAGGCTAACACAAATGCTCTAAGGCATGGCTCAAAACAAGGTAAAATGAGGCATGCAAGGGGATAGATGACCCCCAACGGAAAAATGATCTTAAACAAACACGTTAAGGGCCTTAAAATAAGACTTTTTCAGTTTACACCAAAGCTCAAATATGCATTCAAATAAGGCTAAGAGATGGATCAAGATAAAGCTTAAAAGAGGGAAAAAGGAGTTACCCTTCTAGCTCTGCAAAACCAACAACTTCTCCAGCCCAAAACCAACTCTTTGAGACCTCTCAAGACCTCCCAATAACCTTAGAACAATGGTGGAGGTATGTGGCTATGAGGTGAAGTGCAAAAGGGCAAGAGTCATACACTTTCTAAGCCTAAAATGTAGAGATATAGAGAGATATATTGTATGAGCCTTAGCAAATTTTTTGAACCCCCTACAAGGAAGGGGAGCCCTTCCTTTATAGACAAGAGGGACTAAAGCTTCTCCTAGAAGCTTCAAACTAAGGGCAAACATATGGAGGATGCAGTCTGTGCCTCCTAGTTGGCACAGCTGGAATCAACTCACTGAGACAGAACTGAGGGAAGCAGGCCGACCAGTTCAGGTGGTCGGCCGACCACTTCCCCTAGTCGGCCAACCAGTTCAAAAGGGTCAAACCAATGAATGGTGGTCGGCAGCCCCATTTGGTGGTCTCCACAGGAAATGCAAGCAAGTGGTATGGTGGGAGACAAGCAATTGTGGCCAAAAAAATTAGAGAGACCAATTACCTGACAAGAAAATCAGCAGACGGGGGAAAAGTGGTCTCCAAGGAGAAAAGGTGGTCTCCCATCCTTGTACCACCTTCTAAACAATGAAAATAGGGTCCATGCCAAAAATGAACCAAGACGGATGCAAAATGAGGGTTCGGAGTCCAAAACGCGCAGCCGAGTGCCCCGAAAACTGACTGTTAAGCATTGAAAGTGGCGTGTGACCACGAAGGTGGTCTCCTAGGCCACAGTGTCCCTCTAGAGAGAGGAAACAAGGTGTGTGCCAAAAACCAAAGCAAACGGAGAAAGTTAAGCGGTCCTGAACCGAGGCGCACGACCGACGGCTTTGAAAATCAGAAACTAGTCTCTAGACGGGAACAGTGGTCTACGACCACGAAAAGTAGCCTACGGTCACTGAGAGATGGTCTACAAGACCTCTCCCTCCCTTCAAGAAGAGAAAACAGAACCTGGTTCGTAAATCGAGGCAAAGCACAAAAGAGTCCCGAAGTCTGGAGGCAAGGCTCTCAGCCGAGCCTCCGTAACCTCAGAACGAGCACAACATGCGCAATCACCGAGCGCTCAATCGATGACGTTTGAGTCTTAAGGTTGGTCAAAAATAGGGTATCTACAGTTGCCCCTCTTTGACAGAACTCGGAAGTCATAAGTGACGAGAGTGAATGTCAAAGCCCAGAGACGACCCATTTTTGACAAGGCCGAAGACTTAGACAAACATGCAAGATAACAAAGAGATGCGCCCGTAGGCAGAGGAAAGATGCAAAGGATATGCCCAAAGCCGAACATAACTCATGATCATGCGAAGCAGCAAACTGCAATGAAGCAAATAGTCACAATAAATGCGACAGTTTTAAGCAAGCATGCAGAGCAAAACTATATTTCATGCAGTAAGGATGTAAGAGAATTACAATTCTCGCTACGTCTCACACGGAGAAGATACAATACCTGTCTGATTCGTCTGGTCGCGCCAGCTTCAAATGAACCGTGCATACAATATCGTGCCTACAAAAGAGAGAAACCTAACAGGCACAACATAGTTAGCAACATATGTTCAACGCTATATCGAACGCAGACAAACATGGTGCCGATGAAAAAGTACATCGCGATGCAAAAAGAAACGTGCACGACAACGCAAGTTAAGCATGGAGGTATGACGATACCAGTGAAACGTGCACAACGATGCAAAGGATGCGCATAATAATGCCAGTGACGTGCATAACAATGCAGGATAAGCGCAACTTCAAAAGCATGTTTGAAACAAAACATTGAGCAAAGAAAAGCAAGCCTCGACGAGGGCAACTCAAACGCGACCTCCGATTTACCTCTCGGAGGGGTCGTAACGTACTCAAAAAGGATACACCTGGCTCTTGGCGAATATTGATGAGCCATGCATCGAGGATTGGATTTGAAGTTCCCGCGAAGGGATTTCTCGCCGAAAAGTGCACTTTCCTTGTACTATCTTGAGAGTCGGGGACTCCGATCACCACTAAAATTTGCAGAGAGAACAAAGAGTCATTGGAGGCCACCCAGGAGGGCCACCGACCACCTAGGGAGGCCACCGACCAGGTTTTGTGCAAGGGGGTGGTCGGCCTACCAGGAAAGGTGGTCGGCCGACCACCTGTCCAAATCCGGGACGGTTTTGTCTTTTTACACTTGTTTTTTTAAATCCACATGTCCCAATCACTATTCCTCACACCCACAAGGCCGAAATCAGTTCTCCTTCCTTCCTAAACCATTTTCTCTCTCAGATCTGCGCTTTATACGCGTTTTCCAACACTCCACGCAAAGTTGTTTCGCGAAATCTTCCAGTTTTCTTCACTTTGGACCGATTAAAATTTGATTTCAAAGCTTCTTCCTTCATTTTCACCACTTGAGGTAAGTTTGTCTCGACATTTGGTACATTTTCTCAGGAGTTGACTTTTGTTGACTTTTTCATTTCCCGAGAGTTGACTTTTGTTGACTTTTTCTAATTTTGGCTCATTTTGCTCATTTGTGCTCCTTTTTTGCAGATTTCTTCAAATGGCAGGTCATTTTCCTCATGGTGGAGGTCCTTCAGGTACCGAGGGTGAGCCGGACATCATGTCCTTGCCCCCCGAGAGTTCGGCCATTTGATCCCGAGAGGTATCATCCTTGGGAGCACGTCCTTCCTCAGGCCACTTTCTACCATTTCACTGACTTTGATGACCGAGCACCTGCGGATCTATTACTGCGGGAGCCAGAGACTCATCTCTCTCATCAGGCACAAGAGGTACGTACTTCACTTTTACATTCTCTGCACTGTATTCTGCATTTCATGCACATTTCATACTTTCGCTATGTATACTTATCCGCTCGTTCTGAACACATTTGCACACCATATTTCTGCTTATTTTAGCACATACCTCACAGCGCAGAATTCTGTTGAGTGGGCACACAGCTTGTTCTAAACACTTACTCTATAACATAGCATTCTGTTTGCATTTTGAACACACAACACAATCACTCGGATTTTTGAACACGCAGCAGCTCATACTTTTTATCTTAAACACGCAGCCCACAGTTTTTTAAAGTTGAACACGCAGCCCAAACTCTTAATGGTGAACACACAGCCCACTTTTTTGAAAACTGAACACGCAGCCCAAACGCTTGAGGTGAACACACAGCCCACAGTTTTTGAAATCTGAACACGCAGCCCAAACTCTTGAGGTGAATACACAGCCCGCAGTTTTTGAAAGTTTGAACACTTAGCCCAAACTCTTGAGGTGAACACACAGCCCACAGTTTTTAAATGTTGAACACGCAGCCCAAACTCTTGAGGTGAACACACAGCCCACAGTTTTTGAAATCTAAACACGCAGCCCAAACTCTTGAGGTGAACACACAGCCCCCTGTTTCTGAAATCTGAACACACAGCTCAAACTTTTGATGGTGAACACGCAGCCCACTTATTTCATTTGCACGCAGCGCATATTGAACACACAGTTCTTAGATTTCACTTTTGAACTCACAGCTCATTCATTTCATTTGCACGCAGCTTATACATTTCATTCTGAAACTGAATACTTCTGTTCATTTTGAACGCAGGTACCCTCTCGTTCTATGCGAGGTTATGGCTCGATTATTGCTAGGGAGTGGTATGTAGAGCTCCCAGAGACCGTTCATCACATGGTGGATGGGACAGGATTTGGGCCCTTCTGCACGGGGTTATCTCGCTATCCTGCGAGCAGGACCTTGATGGGGGCACTCGTAGAGAGATGGTGGGACACCACCAACTCGTTCCACTTCTCAGCTACCGGGGATATGACGAGGACCCCATTCGACTTTGCGATGCTGACTTGCCTTGATGTGGCCGGCCGACCGGTCCACTACGACGAGGATATGGGCGAGAGAGAGGCTGCCTGGATCTATCTGTTTTGAGCTCGCCCACCGATTGACCGATCTTCTGGCAGAGTCAGGTACACTTGGTTTCCCATGCAGTATAAGGTGAGTATGCCTGTGACTCTTGAGGAGATAGAGCAGTACGCTCAAGGTTTTTTGATATTCCTCCTTGGGACCACTTTGTTCTCCGATAGGGGGAACACAGTTGGACCGTATCTGTTCAGTGCTTTGGTGGACCTATCACAGGTCAGCGAGTATGACTGGGGTGGCGCCGGCCTCGCTACCCTCTACTGCTATATGAGTGCGACCTCCCGCGGACGGGAGAACATAGTTGGCGGCTACTGGAGAGCTTGGAAGGTACCTTCTGCCCTCTTGATTTACATTTCTGCTTTTCACTCTCTGTACACTGCACACGGCACACTTTATATTTTGTATTCTACATTCTGCACTCAGCACTTTGTATTTTCTGTATATTCTGTATTCTGATAGCTACTGCCCTGTTTTCCACAGCTATGGATTTACGCGTACTTTCCAACGCTAGCCCCAGAGTTCGAGGTGGAGGTGCCTCTTACGATCCCTTACTCTCACGTATTTGAGGATCGATGTCAGACGAGGGCTCGAGAGACTCTGCCCTTCTTGCGACAGTTTTTTGACACGGTGCAGGCAACCGAGGTACTTCAAAACTCTCAGTTCTTTATATTTTCATCTTTGATTCATCTTGCATATTTATGACATCTGATTGGCTCATGCACTTGTTATCCTCAAATCGCTTGGCGGCCCTGGGCACCCTTGTGAGGAGATATCTGTTTCTAGTTCCCGAGGGCATGGGCTTCTTCTCAGTATAGGACTTTGTTTGAGGGGCCAGTTGGCAGGGCCTAGTTTCTGGGAGATCGCTTCATGCGCCAGACGATGGGCGTCCCTGAGCAGAGTGTCCCTTCAGCACCACCAGATGACATGCGGTCCGCTGAGAGACTCACTTCCGAGGAGGTCGATGTCGCTATGTTGGGTACCGATGCAGCTCTGCACACGAAGGAGGGGGAGTATGTGACTTACCGCCACACGTACTTGATGCCCCCACTGATGGGTGTCCGTACTCCTACTAGGAGGGCTGCTGGTGCATCATCATCAGCTCGAGCCCGGGCTACAGACGTTCCTTCGTCTAATAGGGCCGACACATCGAGGAGTGGGGCTAGACAGATTCCCCCGATTCCCCCGACTTATCAGCACGCCGAGTGGCCAGATCTTCCGACCGAGTTGACTGGATGGCGATACAAGTCACCTTACCCGATTCCAATAGAGCCTCCTATGCCCGATCACCGATATGTTAGTGATCCTGACTCACCACCGGTATGTTCCACTGCTTTTCATTTATCACTCAGATACTTAGGCATTCATTTATTCATTGATGACTTGAGCTTGTATCTGCAGCCTCCTAGGGAGTATTCTGATGATCTGCTCGGATTGGTGGCCTCACTTGAGGGCATGGTCTTGCGGAGGGAGACACAGCTATTCATCGCTGGTGTTACGGTATTTTTCAATTTTCTCACATTTATCATACTTCTGATGACATGTTGTATTTAACCATTTCACTGCATTGCTTGACTGTGTGCATAGAGCACATCTGACACACACCATATTCATACATTGTATCTGCATACACCCACTCTATGTAGCATTCTTATCTCTGCATCAGATATACATGTTGGCTAATGTACTCAAATTGTCCTTTTCAGATGCCACCACTACAGGCCAGGCCATCCAGGCCTTCTCGACGAGTTGGGAGAAGGGACTCGTCTCGCAGACGAGGCAGGCGCAGAGCACCCGTCATAGATGACGAGGAGTCCAATGAGGAGGAGTCTGTGCATCCTTAGTCAAAGACGTCTGCAGACAGAGAGGAGGACTCCGGCTCTGGTTCTGAGAGTGGAGGTGATGTCAGGGAGGATCCAGAGGATGACAGCTCCGATTCAGATGATGGTGCTGGTGGAGGTATTGCCAAGACTGCTCAGGCGAAGAGGATGAAGAGGGCCTCCCGATCTTGAGTCCGAGAGCACTGATGCAGATGTTCCTGCTTTATTTGCCTTTTTTACTAGTAGTTGTAGCACATTGTACATTATTAGGGAGTTTTATAATCTGTAAAACTTGTATCCTTGTTGTAAAATGTTATAACAAAGGAAGCATGATGGAATGAAACAGCTTTTTGAAAAAGTGTCGTATTTTATGTTCTTAGCATCGCATCGCATCATTTTGCACAAAAATGAGGTTGAATGAAAATTGAGCATCGAAAATTGCCAAGCCAGTTAGTGAACCGACGCAACAAACTAAACAACTTAACTTAGTAAGAAACAACAAAACCTTAGCAAGTTTACAACTCGATAAGAAAATCCCGACAATGTTGATTAAACAAAGAGTAACAACTCGATATACAGAACTCAATGACTCGATAAGCAACGACTCGATAAACAAAACTTTAATAACTCAATAAGTAAAACCAAACAACAACTCGATAAACAAAGAACAACAACTCGATAAGAAAATGCATCTCGGACAGTTGGAGTGACGAAACGCATCCGAAACAGAGGTAAGCTCGGACCTTCAACACTCCCAACGCATGGAAAAGCTAGGATCTCTTTTTTGGAAACTAGGAACAGACCAAAAGACCAACTTTTCTCCATAGCCGACCACCAGAAGGGGCTGGCCGACCAGCTATTTTCCTTGGAGACCAAAAGGGTGGTCGGCCTACCAGAAAAAGTGGTCGGCCGACCACCTGGTTTGGTGACCACCAGATTTTTGACACGTGTCCCCAAACAGTGCCTTATCCTCTATAAAAGCTCCAGCTTCGCGGTTCTTTCATTTCATCTCAATTTTGCATCAAAATGGAGGCATTCCTCATCGAAAATCTCGCAGCTTGGATTGCTCGATAAGCAACGACTCGATAAACAAAACTTTAATAACTCAATAAGCAAAACCAAACAACAACTCGATAAACAAAGAACAATAACTCGATAAGCAAATGCATCTCGGACAGTTGGAGTGACGGAACGCATCCGAAACAGAGGTAAACTCGGACCTTCAACACTCCCAACGCATGGAAAAGCTAGGATCTCTCTTTTGGACACTAGGAACAGACCAAAAGACCAACTTTTCTCCATAGCCGACCACCAGAAGGGGCTAGCCGACTAGCTATTTTCCTTGGAGACCAAAGGGGTGGTCGGCCTACCAGAAAAAGTGGTCGGCCGACCACCTGGTTTGGTGACCACCAGATTTTTGACACGTGTCCCCAAACAGTGCCTTATCCTCTATAAAAGCTCCAGCTTCGCGGTTCTTTCATTTCATCTCAATTTTGCATCAAAATGGAGGCATTCCTCATCGAAAATCTCGCAGCTTGGATTGCTACTTTAGACGGCTCAGAAAAGTTGAACTTCCGGGGCTTCAGCTTGAATGCACTATTCACATTAAGCCACACTCCGCTGCATCTTCCCTTTCTCCATGCCGCGGCGAGGTTTTGGAATCCGGTAACACGTGTCTTTAACTTCGGCGGGCAAGAGATGTGTCTTACCTTCGAAGATTTCCAAGCTTTGATGGAGTCCGAGCGCAACGAGGAGATCTTACCCTAACTCCGCTTCGGCCATGCTCAAGCCTTAGGACGAATGTGTGGGCTCACTATGCACAACGCTCGGTCTCTGATCTGCAATGGAGAATTGGACATCCTCAGCTTGATTCAACGTTTTTCTGATCCCGGTGACCGTGGTGACCATCATTGGCAGGGCTTTCGGCGACATGCCCTTTGCTTGTGTATGCTATCTCATTTCTTGCTTGCCCCAAGCTCCGGAAGATCTAGTGTCCGATTGATCGAGGTTGCCCAATGCTTAAGGGAGGGCAAGAGCTGCATTGCCATGTCATTGGCCGAGACATTGATGGGCTTGGATGCTTTTCATCGCCGAGAGACGACCAGATTTGCGGGGAGTCCACTACTGCTGCAGGTAATGCTTCTACCCCTCCTCACATATATTACTCACATCACTCGGCTCTCAGGCTCGATTTTTATCTCAAGAAACCTTTTCTCACTTTTTCTCTCAACGTACACCTCTCTATTCTTTAATCTCTCATTTTTCAATCCCTCCCTAGGTATGGTTGATGGATAAATTGAGAGTGGTAGACTCATGCTCGGCATATTCAGTCCGTAGCTATTTCTTCTGACGTCGCCTAGTCAATGCCCTTGATGAGAGATTGTGGTAGAACTGGATGTGCAGTTTGTTCGCGGAAGACATTGCTTGGCGCTACCCCTGGCTCAATCTACCGGTAATGAGTTACAACATGTCTCGCCAGCTTGGAATCCAGCAGATTGGCCTGACCCACTATGTTTTCTATTTCTCATTTCGGTTCTAGCGTCAGTTCGACCATGATCAGATTTGCCCAGCAGAGGGGATAGAGTACCCGACTGCATTTCTAATCCGAGGCGCACAGCTTGCTCGGTATGCCAGGGCATGGAGGACGAGAGAGCTTCTGGCCCCTGCTCCCATTTTCAGCTGCACCCTCTCTGATGAGTGCATAGATTGGCTCAATGAAGAGGCACAGATCGAGCCCAGCATGGCATCAGAGGCTTCCACAAGCTCTGGGAGGGGGCGCGGGAACACTTGACTATGCCCTGAATTTATTGCTTTATCAGTACTCTCAAGTTTTCTTTATGAATGTAATAAAAAGCAACTTCAATTTGTATTCAAGAGCAGGAGAACTCTGTACTAAAATCAGTGTAATTGAAGATTGTGGGTATTGAAAATTTTCCGTTCGGTCCAAAAATGGTCTAAGTTGTAAAAAGATTAATTTGCGCAAAATCAATTTTTATTAAAACTTTTCAAAACCATTTTTGATATGGATCACAACTGGACACGCCTAAAGTTTGTCACTGAGATGCACAACCCCGGATCCTAGCATTTGGAAAGTTGCCCCTAGTTTGAATAGCACTGCACTGGATATCACAATCGAGCTCTTGAATGCGGAGTAGACAAAGATGACCAAACATGATCACATGGACAAAGTTGATTGGGGAAGAGTTTATTGCTGGACTTCAGGATGAAGTTGCCTACGTATCCCAAAGATAGTAATCAAGCCTTACGTAGTTCCGGCTTGGGTTCACTCGTGTATTTTCACTCTCCTTTTGCACCCTAACTTTTGCCAAGGCCGCCCTTTGCGGGTTTTCAACCTTGCGAGCTCAGTTTTTATATTTTCAAATTTTTCATGCTCTAACTTTTGCCTAGGTCGCCCTTTCAGGTTTTCGGCCTAGCGAGCCACTCAGGGGTAATATTTCTTCAACTTGTCCATGTTGATCGGCTGTGAGATCTCTAGACGCCTAAAGTTTGTCACTGAGATGCACAACCCCGGATCCTAGCATTTGGAAAGTTGCCCCTAGTTTGAATAGCACTGCACTGGATATCACAATCGAGCTCTTGAATGCGGAGTAGACAAAGATGACCAAACATGATCACATGGACAAAGTTGATTGGGGAAGAGTTTATTGCTGGACTTCAGGATGAAGTTGCCTACGTATCCCAAAGATAGTAATCAAGCCTTACGTAGTTCCGCCTTGGGTTCACTCGTGTATTTTCACTCTCCTTTTGCGCCCTAACTTTTGCCAAGGCCGCCCTTTGCGGGTTTTCAACCTTGCGAGCTCAGTTTTTTATATTTTCAAATTTTTCATGCTCTAACTTTTGCCTAGGTCGCTCTTTCAGGTTTTCGGCCTAGCGAGCCACTCAGGGGTAATATTTCTTCAACTTGTCCATGTTGATCGGTTGTGAGATCTCTAGTCCATCTAGGTCCATCAGAACAACAGTTCTACCTGACCAAATAGACTTAATGATATAGGGACCAGTCCAATTGGGTCAGAACTTGCTCCTAGGGTCATGGATGGGAGCTCGGTTGTCTTTGAGCACAAGATCTCCTTCTTTCAAATTCCTGGACTTAACTTTCTTGTTGAAAGCCCTGGCAATTCTGTGTTTATATCCCTGAATATAGTACAGTGCTTTCAGCCTCTTTCATCAAAGAGCATGAGTTCTTCAAATCTGCTCTGCTGCCAATTTGCCTCGACTATCTAACACTCGGCCAGTACTCATAATGACGGAACCTCAATTTTGATAGGTAGAACAGTCTCCATCCCATATACCAATGAATACGGAGTTGCTCCAGTGGAAGTTCGAATTGAAGTCTGGTAGCCCTAGAGAGCAAACGACAGCTTATCTGGCCAATCCCGGTAGGTTTCCACCATCTTCTGTAGAATGTGCTTGATGTTCTTGTTGGCGGCCTCAACTGCTCCATTAGTTTGTGGCTGATATGTGGATGACTTATGAAAAGCCACGTTGTATTTTTCCAACAAGTCAATCACTTCCTTCTTGAAATGGGAACCATTATCTGAAATGATCTCGTTTGGGACCCCGTAGCGACAGATGATGTTGTTTCTGATAAACTTGGCAACATGGGAAGCTTTCAACACTGCATAAGATTGGGCCTCGACCCACTTCGTAAAATAGTCTTTCGCGACCAGAATGAACTCATGCCCATTAGACCCTTTCGGACTGACAGCCCTAATTACATCAATTCCCTAAACTGAAAATGGCCACGTCGAAGTCATGCTGTACAGCTTGGACAGCGGAATGTTCATGCAGTTTGCATGGATCTGACATTTATGGCATCGCCGAACAAAACTAATACAATCCTTCTCTATGGTGGACCAGTAGTAACCTTATCTGAGAATCTTCTGGGCTAGCATCACTCCGTTCATGTGCACTCCGCACTCTCCCCCATGGATGGCCTCCATCAGATGCTTCGATTCTTCAGCTTTCACACACAGCTTATGCATCCAGAGATGACCCCTTTTGTACAGTTTAACCCCACAGATGATGAACTAAGCAGCGATTCATCTGATTGCCCTTTTATCCTTGGCATTTGCCCCTGGTGGATACGTCTCCTTCTCCAAGAAGTTCCAGACATCGTAATACCAGGGGTTCTCATCTTGAACCTCTTCTACAGCAGCAATCAGTTCGTAAGTTGGCACAAATTTCTTCTCGATGATGATTGGACGCATCTGGACTCCGAAAGGGATGTCTATCATGGATGATAGAGTT